TAGGACAACTACTGAATTTTTTTATTTCCATCTTGCATAGGCTGATGCCGCATGGGATATCAGTGCCGATATCACCGCAGTCCAAGTGAGGTTGAACAGAGGTTTGCACTTGACTGACGTTGAGCAGAGGGTGACCTTCAACCGGATGCAGGAGAAGATGCGTGCGGTCATGCGCGTCTTCTCCTGTAGCAGCGCCGTGGACGTCGTACCTCCAGCTGGTCCGGTACAACCACGGCCTCGCGCGCCTACTGTCGGAGCAGGACCTCGACCTACGGCACCTTTTTCGCACGGTACTGCTCAGCCCAGAGGTTTCTTAAGTTTTGTTTCTGTTTTTGTACGAAAACATCACCCCGTCGTAACTTGATGTTCCATCCTCGCAGGACCTCGTTTGCCTTCGAGCGCCCCTAGCTTCGGAGCAGTGCGACCTACAGCACCGGTTCCGCACGGTACAGTTCAGCCCAGAGATTAGTTCATTTTTGTTTCAGCTTTTGCACGAATATGTCACCATGTTTTAACTGCACGTTTCCTCATCGCAGGACCTCGTCTGCCTTCGAGCGCGTTCGCAGGCACGACCGGCGCTTCCGCGAGCTCCGCAGGGGCGTTCGCCACCTCTTCGGGCGCGTTCGCCAGCTCTTCCTCTCACGGAGCGTCGATCCCTCGCCCACACGGTACTTTACTTTTTATTAATACTATTAAATACCTGTATGAAACTGATGGTCCTTGTCCAGCAGGATTTGCAGCCGGGATCTTCGGTACTGGGGCCTCTTCGTCTCACGCCGGTAGGACTGGTCCTACTAGCCAGTTCTACGACGACGACTTGCACGGTGCACACCACCACGACGTACTAGGCTCCTCTCAGCTTGGAGGAGCTCCAGAGGCGCACACTCAGGAGCAGCCAGAGGTCACACCTGTACAGGCAGGACGGGTTGGCCGTGCCGTACCCCCGGACCGACTCACGTACTCCCAGGGGCACATTAGGGCGCAGGGTAGGAGGGACAGGGGTAAGAGGCCTCGTCAGTAGTGTTCTACCTCTTCAGACCTTATGTGACCGTTTCTTTTGGCTTACAAACTTGTAAAGCAGTACTACTTTTGCTATTACTACTGCAGTACTACTTGTGTTTGTCTCGTCTACATAGTTCTTTTCATTCATATGGTGCTAGAACAGCTTATATTTTGGCACTAACAAAATATTTGTACGGTAACATTCCAAATAGGCCCTAAAAATAATAAAATTGTATTTTACCAGTCTTGGAGATTTTAATCTTGTATAGTTTTCAATATAAAAAGATTTGATAACTATTAATATTTATACAAAAATATAAAGCACAGTATAAAATCGCCCTCCCCAAGGGCGGCAAGGGGGCCGCCTGCAAAATTCCAGGCCCCCCGCCGCCCATTTGTAGGCGGCCCCCCCCCACAGTACAAAATCGCCGTAGCGGAGGGCGGCAAGGGGGCCGCCTGCAAAATTCCAGGCCCCCCGCCGCCCATTTGCAGGCGGCCCCCCCCACAGTACAAAATCGCCCTAGCAGAGGGCGGCAAGGGGGCCGCCTGCAAATTTCGTTGACGGCCGTCGCCCGAGAGCGAACGGCCGTCTGCCACGTCACTTTCGCCGCCCTCTGGGATGGCGATTTTTAAAAATCGCCCTCCCAGAGGGCGGTAGGCGACTACATCCGTCAATTTTCAAAATGAAAAATTATTTTTGTAAAACTTTTAATAAAAAAATTAAAAATAAAAAAAATTCTCTCACTATCTCTCCTTTAACCAAGACGCGGGTTCTCGATAGTTTGATTTCTGCTTGCCAATAGAAAACCTGATTATATATATTTGATTACACTAATAAAAAAAATATCTATAAAACAATGACCCCACCTATTATGATCCAAATTTTACAAAACCACAGCGATTTTGACACGTGACACATAATGTTGGGGAATAACCCCATGCCAGCGTGTACGGTTGGAAAGGACCCCTCACATCTAGGGTGTTGTATAAATTAATGTAATAATGGGCTCAAACGCCCCTAGGACAATGCCCCTATGATGCAACCGATCAAGGGTAATACTGCAATTTTCCATTACATATGAATAAAAGGAGTCCTCCAAGAGCAAGAAGGCGGAGGCATCTTCCCATTACATTCATTTAGCAGCACTCTCTTCCTCTTATCTTATCCCCCATGGATCTAAACTAAGGCTCCCTGCAAGAGAAGGGGGTGCGTTTGCCATACTTGTTGGACTTTGTTCTAACACATAACCACGGGTATTATATCTAAAGTTTCACAAAATCACAATGTTAACCATTTTGATATACTCATATATCAAAATTTAAGAAAATGGATGTAATATTTATATGATGAATAAAATTCTTATAAATTTGAGATGTGATGGTAGAACCCAAAAGTGTGAAAGATTAAAATCAAAATGATCAATAACGTGGTTTGTGAAACATTATGACCATAAAACCTGAGCTTACGTATCACATACCAAAATCTGTATGATTTTGTATAATTTGGATCATAATAAGTGAGGTTTTATAGTATAGAATTTACTCACAAACAATTGAACAATACTAGTTCACGGCACAGACCTGCTCCAGACCGGATTAACAATAGGCTACAACAACATCACAGTATTTCCTTCTATCCCAAATTAGTAAAGTTATTAGGACATGGCTCCAATCTATCTATTATATACTAAAAGTCCATTACACTTCATACAAACACTCTCAAGCTGTCACGTGGCACTCTAATAAATTATAGAAAATCTTAGAAATAAGAAAAAAAGCAAAACATCTACCCTTGATTTTCACTTAAATTAGTGGGTCCATTATTACACACCATTAGATGAAATTGATCTTTAAACAAACCAAATACTATGGACCCCAGCTCTCCTTCTCCCGTGCATGTGTACATGGGTATATATACGTACGTACCATGTACGTACGCCCTTCTTTTCTTTTTTTTTTCTTTTTTTCTTCCTTTTCCATTTATATAATATGGATATATACTTTTTTAAATAATCATAAATTTACAACACAAAGAATCTACCATCATGCAACTCTCGGGTAATTAAATTAGCTCTACCATTTTTAAAAATAAAATTTAAACTATTATATGTGACCATTAAATTAATAATGTAATATAGTTTCCACTTAAACATGGGTACTCATTATTTTGTACTATTATTTTCAAATAATTTTACACAATTATATTGTGTACCTATCAAATAAACAGTTTAAGATCTATATTAATTGATTTATACGTGCACTTAAACCGAGGACCCATTATTTAAATCATCGGAACTATTTTTTGTTACATTGGACTATTATTCTCAAATAATGCATGGTTTCAAAATAAAGTCTACACCATTATATTATATTATGTACCCATTAAATTAACAATTTAAAATCTATATTAACAAATGTACACTTACACTAGAACCGGTGGACCCATTATTTAAATCATCTGATATATTATTTGCTAATAAATAAAGCGTCCGAAGTTCTCTTTTTTGCCCGCTGCACAATGCACGTCTGCAGCTTTGCCTTTTGCACGCTTGACAAAGCGTCGTGTCTGAGGCATCTAAGGTGATCACGACTACCGCAGCACTACCACTTTGCCACATATCAAATCATATATGGAGATGATTAATTTTGTTAATAACATGAAAAGAAAATTAAAAGTGTGATGCAGCGAGAGATGAATTAAGCACTATGGGTTGTGTATTTTTTTCCAATACTTAGCTCTGTTTAAACTGAAACCGAGAGTTAATTACAGAATAATTATAATGTATTGTGTTATATATGTCGTATTTGGATTTTGTACTATTTGTTCGTATAGGTGAAAGAAATCATTATGTTATAAATGTGAGCACAATATTAACAAATATCAATAGCACTCTTACAAAGACTAGGGTGTTATAAGGGAGTTTAAGATCCGCTTTTTTCCCGATTCCATAGTTGGATTTTCGTTTGCACGCTTTCCAAGTTTTAAAATGGTGTCTTTTTTAAACAACATTTTAACTTTTTAAAAGTCAATTCATTCGTTTATACCCTCAAATAGCTATCAGATAAATCAGATAATTCATCAATTTCAGCTGCCCTAGACCCTAAGTAGTACATATTATTTTATGCGAGTCATGGTGATCAGTAAATTGGGAATCAACGGATAATCAAAGTCGTAAGATGAATATGTAAGAGCTACTATGAACAATTGTAAATAGGTGTCAAAATTAATTGCTACTAATTAGACATCTAATAGCTTGCTAACCACATAATTAATTTCTCTCAACATGTATATAAACATGCACGAAACTGGAACAAATATTATTATATGCCCTATACATATATATTAAGCGGTTAATATTCTAATTGCATTGTTAAGTCCTTTAAAATTTCTTAAAATGCTCTCAAACTGCCACGTGGTGCTCTAATAAATTAGAGCAAATATTAGAAATTCTAAGGGAAAAAAGAGCAAAGTATTCACTTAATCAGTATGTCCAATATTATAAACTGTTAGATTAAATTGATCTTTGAAAAAACTAAATACTATAAGGTCTCACCTCTCGTCCCGTGGCATAGGTATGCACCTACGTACATGGGTACGTATGCTTCCCCTCCCTTTTTTATTTTTCCCTTTCTTCTTTTTTTTCCATGCATACACTTCCCTCCCTTTTTACTACATCATGCGCCTTCTTAGATGATTTAATCATAAGAATTTTGAGTATCTTGCTTTCACATTTTTCATCCGTGGCCATACTACACGGTATGTTGTATGATAATTAACTAGCAATAGTTTCTTATTTACTCGAGAAAAAATGATTTAAAAGTCATACCTTAAGAAAAATAGAACCCTTAAAATATTATAAAATAACATTATCCGAACTTTAGTTTGCTCTTAATCTATTATGACAAAATTTTTAAACAAACAATAATTCGCATGCGCGCGGGCCACCTTCCTAGTTAAATAATAAAAGAAAGGCAGCGTGCCCACAACTGACGTGTACCTTAACACTTCGTTGAGCCATGAGGCCATCAGGACGGGCACCAGAGGTCCGGGAGGAGAAGGTTCAACATGGTTAGTCCACGGAGGTTCGTCCTGCGCCATGACGCCATCCATTGCCTGCCGAAGGACATACATATGGTTATCAGCCGGGGGTGGGGGTGGGGGGCGCATTTCGTCGAGCAGGTGGATGGCACACCTCATCTGGAGGAGAAAAGAAGCCCGCAAGCAAGCAAAGCGCAGCACTGCTGCACCCATGCGCGTACCCGCACGGACGTAGGCGCCCCCAAGCCGCCTCCGATGTCCCATCACGGGGAGGCGCCGGTGTTTCAGTTCCCCTCCGCTCTGCCTCTGCTCCACACCCCCCCCTCCCCCCCCCCCCCCTCACCTCGTCCGGTCTTCACGGCTACAGATTGGAACGGAGGAGAGGGGAGTGTTCGCCCAGCGCGTCATGGGTTTCGCCTCTGGGTAATGGGCTGTACGATCAACAGACAACAGTTACGACGGAAGATGTTTTGCATACTTGCATCGGCCTTGCGTTTCTCTAGCTGGTGGTTCTGTCAGATGGTAAGTTACTCCCTCCGTTTCAAAATGTTTGACACCATTGACTTTTTAATACGTGTTTGACCATTCGTCTTATTAAAAAAATTAAGTAATTATTTATTCTTTTCATATCATTTGATTCATTGTTAAATAAACTTTCATGTACATATATAATTTTTCATATTTCACAAATTTTTTTTAAATAAGACGAACGGTCAAACATAGGCTAAAAAGTCAACGGTGTCAAACATTTTGAAACGAAGGGAGTAACTATCAATGCTGGCCTGGCTTGAGCTAAAAAAAAGATCGTTGATTTTACTTCCAATCAAGTCGCTGAAGATTCAAATAGCGGCGCTCACAATTACTGTATATCAGTAGATACAGTCCGTGGAAACTCATACAGATCACATTGGACAAAGATATGCGGACAGTGTATGTACATCGTAACAAAAGATTTGGCAAGATTGGAACAACTGCAAACAGCAAACTACAGTACCTGAGATAGCATACAGAGCTACAGTTTTATTACTGTGTAAACACAATCACCAGACCGCCTCACAAGATAACATCTACTCTCTCCGTTTTACAATATAAGTCATTCTAACATTTCCTACATTCATATTGATGTTAATGAATCTAGACATATATATCTATCTAGATTCACTAAAATCAATATAAACTAGCTGGGTGGCCCGCGCAATTGCGCGGCTAGCACCCAAACAAATTCATATATTTTTTAGGATGATTTTACTTAAAATTTATTAAATAGCTATCTTATTATCTTAAGACTTTAAAAGACCAAACTTTATCATCCTCGTGTTTCTACATATAGTTTTTAAAAGTCACACCAGTTGCTACCCCTTCTTTATTTGCTTGCTTGATCTACCACTATTTCTATTCATTCTTCTTGGAACCTTTAAAAATTGGATTTTATAGTTTTTAGAGTTTATTGTCACATTGGGTTTTGTTTTTATAATTTCTAGATGTCCCGTCAAACGTTGCCATTATACTCCTCTATGGCCCGTCCACTGTTTCTTCTCTTTATTATCATTGAGATTTCAAAAATCGAACATAATTATCGTTTGGGTTCATTTTTACTTTCTAGAAGTCCCGCCAAACCGTCAGCGGCTTTGCCACTGTACTCTTCTACGGCTCGCGCACTGCCTCCGTTCTTTATTGTCATTGAGATTTTTAAATCGAACATGATTATCATTGGGTTTTTTTAATTTTTGGAAGTTCCGAACCTTTAAAAATTGGACTTGTATTTTCATTTTTTATAATTTTTAGAAGTCCCATCGAACGATGCCACAATGCCCCTCTACAGCCCGTCCGCCGCCTACTCTTTATTACACTATGATTTTAAAAATCAAACATAACTATCGTTGGAATTCATTTTTTATTTTCTAGAAGTCCCGTCAACCGTCGGCGGCTCTGCAACTATACTCTTATATACCCCGCCCGCTGCTTCTCCCTTTTATTGTCATTGAGATTTTAAAAATCGAATATGATTATTAATGGGGTTTATTTTTTTACTGTCTAGAAATCCCGGCAACCGCCTTACTTGTTTGCTTCACGACTTGCCTGACGTCCCTCCTTTTAATCGTCATTAGGATTCTTTTTTGTGTTTTATTAACAATTTTTATATGTCGTATCAACCGCCACCACTCTACTCCTTTATAGGCATGTTACTTAATTTATCTCGTCATGTGTTTTAGATGGTCTTTTTTTCAATAGTCTTTATTTTTATCACAAATTTTAGTTATTTATAAATTGTATTACTAATTGAAATCTTATTTCCTTTTCTAATTTCAGAATTTATTTTTAAAAAATTTTTAGTTAATACCGTATTGTGTTCTTTTAATGTTTTTATTTTTTATTTTCAATTTCAGTTGTTTCAAAATGGTATTCCTACTTGAAATCTCTTTTAATTTTTATAATTTTGGATATTATTTTATTTTTTATTCAAAATTTTAATTAATCTCGTATTGGATTCTTATATGGATTCTTCTTTCAATATTGCTTAAATTTAATTCTGAATTCTAGCTAATTTTAAATTGTATTCCTACTTGAACTCTTCTTTTATTTTCTTTTGCTAATTTCAGATTTATTTTTGTTTTTATTCCGAATTTTAATTAATCTTGTATTGGATTCTTATATGGACTCTTCTTTTAATATTCCTTATTTTTAATTCCAAATTTCAGCTATTTTAAAATTGTATTCCTACTTGGACTCTTCTTTACTTTTCTAATTTTGGATTTTATTTTATTTTTATTTAGAATTTTGATTAATCTCGTATTGGGTTCTTATATGGAAACTTCTTTCAATATTGCTTATTTTTAATTCCGAATTTCAGCTATTTTTAAATTGTATTTCTACTTGGACTCTCCTTTCCTCTTCTAATTTTGGATTTTATTTTATTTTTATTTTGAATTTTGATTAATCTCGTATTAGGTTCTTATATGGAAACTTTTTTCAATATTGCTTATTTTTAATTCCGAATTTCAGCTATTTTTAAATTGGACTTCTATTTGGACTCTCCTTTTTCTTTTTTCACTTTTTCTTCGATTAATGTGGGAATTTCTAGCCCCCACAGCGAACGTGGTGCCTCCTTTCAAAGCTGTTTTAATAATATAATAGATAGATAGATGTGGGAAATGCTAGAATGACTTATATTGTGAAACGGAGGAAGTAGTACAGATTAAAGTGCGGTCCCACGAAAGAAGTGCAAAGCATTACTGAATCCAATTTATGCTGCAATCTCTAACCGGCTTCCGTTTTGCTGCTTCAGCATCAGCAAGGCTATCCTGATTAATGAACAAGAGTAAAGACCACTCTGTTTCTATGCATACTTGCAGAGTCTCCAGGCTACATCGATCTAGCCTGTAATATCGATGAAGTAACCAACTGGTTGCCTTTCTGTTTGTGCAGTCAGTTTGCATCATCTCAGGCAACTTTCTTGTTCTGAACTTGCAAGAAACCTGTTAACCTGATGAGATATTCATAGGAAAATAACAGCTTCTTCATGGAGGAAACAGCTCCATCAAATTAAGTGTTACCATGCGTTTACAAGGACATGCTGAGAAAATGAAATGAAAAAAGTTAGTTGTGGTTGAGAAGTTTAGACTTCTCATAGAAGTACCAGCGTATGACAACACAATGGATTAAATGGGTATCGAGCATCCTCCTTAATTTACAGAATATAAACAAAGTTCAAAGAAAAAACAAAATAAATGTTGCAAGTGTAGCATTGTAGGAATGTAGGTTTTCTAGCTTGCAGAAATGCAGAAGCACACCTGATGGAGAAACAACGATTGTAAATATTTTTTGTCTCAAAAAACTTTGGAAACAATATCCTTGCCTTAGTTTGAGGTTTTGGGAAGATGAATGGTTGGGCAATTCAATCTTGAAAGAACAGTATCCTTGCCTTTACAACATAGTTAGGTATAAGAAGGCTACAGTTGCACAAATCTTCGAAAACAATCCTCTATCTTTTTCATGGAGAAGAGACCTTATAGGATCAAAACTAGCAGCGTGGAATAATTTATTACCACGTATCACTGGTTTTCAATTAACTCAGGAGCAAGATGAGTTTCATAGGAACTTAACCTCAAATGAGGAGTTCTCGATGAAGTCTCATTATCTAGCTCTAATTCACAGCAATGTTCCCAACATTAATAAGCGTATTTGGAAATTAAAGATACTCTTAAAAGTTAAGATTTTTCTCTGGTACTTGCACCGTGGAGTGGTGTTAACAAAGGACAATTTGACAAAAAGAAAATGGCAAGGGAATAAGAATTGTTGTTTTTGTTGCAATGACGAGACAATTAGACATCTTTTCTTCAAATGTCGTTTTTCCCATTTTGCTTGGTCCATCATCCAAGTAGCATCTGGATTTCCTCCACCACATTGTGTAGCGCATATATTTGGGAGCTGGCTTGATGGAATTTATAATAATTTGAAAGCACATGTTTTGTTAGGAGCAGCTGCTACTTGTTGGTCGCTTTGGCTATGTAGGAATAATGTGGTTTTTTTATAAAAAAAAAGTGATATCTTTACCTTTGCAGGTTATATATTCTCTTATCCATTGACTTCGTACATGGGCTATCCTACAGAAGCCTGAAGCCTGGTTCGCGGGATATGGTAGTTGTGGCATGTCAACATTTGGAGAAGGTGGTCAAGGAGTTTTTTACTCAGGGATATGGGTGGCGATCTAATCTTAGAATTTGTGGCCCTTAAAACTCTATGCTTTTGGAGGAGATGGCCAAGGAGTTGTTCATGGGTGGCAATTTAATCTTTAGATTGATGGTCCTCAGTACTCCATGCCATTCTTTTTTCCTTTTGAGTGTGGTTTTGTATGTTCGGCTGTGTGCATCTTAGTTATGCAGAGGCCGAAAGTGTTCTTAGTATAATTGTATCATCTTGATGTAATTGACTGAGTTCAATAAAAGCTTCCATTATCTAAAAAGAGCCTTAGTTTGTCTAAAAACAGATTAAAAATATTTGTACTAACCTCAAGTGCGCTGGGCAGATAGATGATGCCGAAAGCAAAAGCATTGTCTTGACTCTTGATTTAGATGCAAAATTTCCTTTACCAGAGCATGTGAATCGTGAACTACAAGCAGCGGAGAAAGAAAGGAGTTATCAGAGCCAGCCAAAATATTGCATTTTACAATGCAAGAAATGAGTTGGTGCAACGTACACAGAAAATGAGTCCACGTCTGGAGAATCTGCAGCTTCAGGTATAAAGATTCTGTACAATCTTTCCCTCCACACAGATATGGAACGTGACAAATGTTGGGCCAGTCCTTTCCCAATGTCTCACTGTGGAATTTGCGCTCCTCTTCCTTCAGCCATTCTTCTCTCTCTTTCATCAGACTAGACGGATCATCTTTGTTTCTGTCCAATTCTTTCTTCAGCTTCCTCTCCACCCATGAGTACAGCTCCCACTCTCGCTCAGGCCATTGATCTCCTTCACTCTGCTGCAGCCACTCTTCTAGTGGTTCCTTCTTGGATTCGTCTTCCTCTGCTTGCTCGTTCAGACTCGACGACTTCTCCTTTTCTATAAACGACTGTTCTTCCATGTGCTGCTTCCTCGGCCACTCGTGTCCCTCCTGCATCCTCTGCCCACGCGACCAATATTTATCACTTTGATACAACGACTCCCCTTTAGAACTCTTCGGCGATTTTTCCCTCCAGCTCATCGGTATTCCTAGTGACTCGTTCTTTTGCTGCATTTCAATAAGCTTCGTCCGCCCATGCTCCAGCTTCCTCTCTCGCCACTCGCCCATCTTCCTCTTCTGCCACAACTCAATCTTACGCCCCTCTGGCCGCGCATCTCCTGTTGGATTCTGGCATCGTGCCTCTAGTTCAAATGAGCACTCCTCTATTTGCAACTCTTTTAGGTTACCTGGCAGGCTGTTGGGTGGTATTGAATACATCCAGTGGCAGTACTTCAGAGTGCACCTCCTCAAGGATGACAGAGAGGACAAGCTCGATGGGAGTGCATGGCACGAATAAATCTCCAGCTCCTGTAGAGATGTGAGATACTGAAGCCACTTCTTAGTAATGCTTGTATGGCCCTGTACTATGTCAAGGCGCAGGTTTCGGAGGGAGGGAGTTTGGGGAATAACAAATTCCAGACCTACTTTTTGCATTGTATCGCCACCCAAGGTAAGGTGGGTGAGAGAATGCATAGTGCGATCGATTTGAGTTGGGGATTGCTTGTCTTCTTGTGCTGACTCTTCATTTGAATCTGTAACTACTGTAGAACAATCAATAATCAGTATATTCTTCAGGTTTTTGATATACCACAGTCCACTTTTAATGCACACATCTCCAAAACCTTGGATATGTAGGTACTCCAAGGACATCAATTGTTTACATGGAATGATTAATTTGCACCTCCGGCTACCACCTACCTCTAAACGTGTCAGACCGTTTAGCCCTTGCAAATACCTCGAGAACGTATCATCATATGGATCACACCACTTAATTATTATCTCTTTCGTGGCTAAACCCAACGACTCAAAAGGCACCTTTCTCAATTTTTCACATGAAAGTATCTTCAGCTTTTTTAGGTTCCGAATGAAGTCACTACTCCCTGCATATGTCCAGCTCTCCCAATTCTCCATATATTCAAAGCTTAGCTCCTCCAAGGACCAAAAGACCACGTTTGAGGTTCCACAAATATCAGAGTTTATATCCTTTATTGACGGCAAACCATCCAACTTGAGTTTTTGCAGATGCTCAAGCTGTCCAAGTGGAGGGAGAACGTTCAAGTTTTTGCACCAACTTATCTCTACAACCCGTACATGCTTGAGCTGCCCCACCCAATCTGGAAGTTCAAATCCTGAGTAACCATACAGTTTTAGCTCCTGCAGATATCTTGGAGGAGACAAACACCCAAGTATCGACTTGGACAGATCAGGCAAAGTATAAGACCATCTTAATTCTAAAGCTGTTATATAGTCCTTCTCAACTATGTTAGCTTGAAGTGCCTCTGCAGGATCAGTCACCATCTCAAGGTGTGAAATACAAAGGGAACCACCCAAATCGTTCATGTCACTTAGCTCAGTTATCCCGTGACCTTCTTCTGCTTTAATATGGAATTCATGTAGCTCTTGCAATTTAGTTAGCTTCCCAATGCCATTAATTTGAGCAATTGTGCCTGAGCTAGCATGCAAGTGACGTAGGTTGATTAAGAAATTCATGTCTCCAGGTAATTTACCAAATGTACAGCCTCTCAAGCCAAGAACCTGAAGGTGGCACAAGCTGCATACTGAATTAGGCAGTTTCGCGATCCCAGTAAACGAGAGGTCTAAATATCTGAGGTGTTTCGTTGAGCTAATAACATTTGAAAGAGCGGACGTCCGTCCCAGCCATTTGTAACTCCTTGAAGAGAAGGCCAGTAAGCGTAGGCTTTTGGAATTACACAAAAAATTACTAAGAGGGAGATGAGTTTCATTATTGCTGGGTTGATGACTGCCGTCAAGCAACATAAAAGTGCGCAATTGTTCAGTTTTAAATTTATCTGGTAGTGTATCTAGGGCATCCATGTCAACTGATAAATAGCGGACATCCTGTGAAACACCTCTCACCTTATTATCGTTACCATGGTATTCATCAGAAGACAGTGCACTTGCAAAATCCCAGACCAAATCATGCATAATGTATTCAGTTTTCCTTGCTGATGGCTGAAGAAAGGCCCTATTGACAAGTTCGTAGAACCATTCCCCACCTACATCCTCCAACCTTTTGACTCCACTAGAACTGTCCAGCTGAATAAAACCATTAGCTATCCACATCTGAACCAATTTATCTTTTTCAAACACATAGTTCCTAGGAAATATTGAACAATAGACAAAGCACTGCCGCAAATATCCAGGTAACGCACTGTAACAACTTCCAAGAGAAGATATAATTCTGATTGCAAAGTTATCATCTGAAACATTCCACCACCAACTATTTAAGATTTCCCTCCAATCAGCTTCTTCCAACTGACTTCTCAATGTTGCCCCAGTTACCTTTATGGATAGAGGCAATCCATGTAACCTGTGTGATATTTTTCTACCAATTTCTTTGAGACCTTCCGTGGACAAACTTCTGCAGGGTTCAACAAATGCATATCTCCTGAGAAGTGCCCATGAGTCATCGGATTGTAAAGGATCCAGAATTACAGGGCCTGCAGTCCCTACAAAGTTAGCTACACTGTACAATTGAGTTGTAACTAAAACTACACTTCCAGGTGCTCCTTTGCTTAGTACACTCCTTAAATCATTCCATAGCACACATATCTCATTCCATACATCATCAAGTACCAGGAGGAATCTTTTACCTTCTATGATATCCTGAAGTTGAGAGTAGGCACTGTCCAGGCTTGTCATATAACTGATGTTATCCTTGGGATTAAAAGAATAGATGATCTGTTCTATTGTAACCAACTGGTCAGTTCTGTCAGTCATATAGACCCATGCAGATATATCACCAAAGTGCTCCCGAACATTTGCGTCATCGAATATGAATTTGGCAAGAGCTGATTTGCCCACTCCACTGATTCCAACAATGGGAATAACTGCCGGATTCCGAAGGTATGTAACAGCACTGTCATGTGGATGACGAATATATTCTACCTTGTTGCTCTTTTCATTTTCGGGGTGTGGGGATACTTCTATTGCTTGCTGTGTCCATTTAGACATATCAATTTTATGAAGAGTTTCAGTAATCCAACCCTTATGAGGAACATGTAACTTCTCAGCTTCTTCCCTAATCTTAAGTGTTATTTCTGTTGGTACATATTGGGCATTGTCCAATACCATGTCTCTTATCATAGCTATTTCCTCATCGCGACCAATAAGAAAGTCATCACCAAGGAAAGATTTGTCTTGGCGAGTCATGGCAACAGAAGATGAAGCTATCTTATCTTCCTTTTCATCTCCTAAGGCACTCTCATTCAGGGGTGGTGTGTCAACTATAGATTTGCCTTGAGAACATGCACTGGCAAGTTTACTAATGACGTATACCATTCTAATCATGTTTCTGTCATCAGAGGAGAGCCAATTCATAACATCAGAGATTGAAGAGTCAGGAGCTTTCACCTCAGATTCCATGTCGTCAAGAAGTCCCTTTGCATCTTGTGCAGCCTTGTTCAGGTCCTGCAGCCATGCAGGGGCAGGCTTGACCCGCTGCAGGCTGTCCAGACGGAGGAAGCGAAGCTTATCCTCCACCACATCCAGCTTCTTCGTAGTTCTCTTGAAGGAGTCGCTACTTTTGCCCAGAGAGCGGCGGAGCTTCTGGACCACTTCGCTGATCTCCACCGAGAGAAGCACAGCAGGATGCTCATATCCAAGATCCATTGATGCGGAAACGTGTTTGTCGAACTTTTGAGGCAAGAGTTGGGGGTGCAGGGCTAAGCTGCCGTGTTGACCTTACCTCTAGTATCTGATGGAACCAAACTTTTTATTTAGAGAATTAGAGGGGGCGTGGGGCCTGCTTGTGTTAGGCTGAGCTGGACCAGCACATTGTCCAAGACATAGCATAATTTATTTTTACATAAACATATACCCCTCTATCCACCCGTATAAGCATCTATCTATTATATATTATTAAAAAAAGCCTTGAAAGAAGACACACCATTCGTTATAGAGACTAGAAAATTCTCACATTAGTTGGAGAAAAAAAAGAAAAATATCTTAGTCGTCAGATCATATTGGGTTTGGATTATAATGGTATAGATTGATTGATATAGCTATAAAATACAATTATATCTACAAAAATATAAGTTGAGAGTTATATATAAAGTCTACTGCGTTCGTTGGGTGGAGAAAGAGAGAGTTTATTTCGTTTTCCGCGCACACATTTCCCAAACTACTAAACGGTGCGTTTTTTTTCAAAAATTTTCTATAGAAAAGTTGCTTTAAAAAATCATATTAATCCATTTTTTAAATTTAAAATAAGTAATACTCAATTAATTATATGCTAATGGCTCACCTCGTTTTGCGTATCTTCCCAATCTTCTCAATCCCCTTCTCCTCAAACTCTCTATAAAAATAGAATTTAAGAGTTAAGAGTTATATATGAAATCCATGAATTATAGAAATACTCCCTCCGTCCAAAAAAACAGTGAATGGATGCGACATATTCTAGTACAACGAATCTGGACAGATGTATGTCTAGATTTGTTGTACTAGAATGTGTCACATCCAGTATTAGGTTGTTTTTTTATGGAACGGAGGGAGTGGAAGCTAAAAGTTGTATATGAAATTTATGGATTATAAAAATAGAATCTAAGAGTTGTATATGAAATCCAAATGCTCATAGAAATAGAAGCTAAGAGTTGTATATGAAATTTAGGGGTTACAAAAATAGAATTTAAGAGTTGTATATGAAATCCAGATGCTCATAAAAATAGAAGCTAAGAGCTGTATATGAAATTTAGGGGTTACAAAAATATAATCTACGAGTTGTATATGAAATCCAAAGGCTCATATAAATAGAAGCTAAGAGTTGTATGTAAAATCTACGGATTATAAAAAATAGAATCTAAGAGTTGTATATAAAATTCAGATGCTCATAGAAATATAAGCCAAGGGTTGTATATGAAATCCAAATAGATTTCTACATGCAATGATATCTTTTGGGGCAATCCTCTAGTTTTATTATAAGAGTGCTAAGTTTTGACTTAACTATCAATAGCAAAAAAAAAAAATCATAAAAATTCATGGCATAAAAAGGATGTTGTTAGATTTATCATTAAACAAACTATCCTAACATGCAACTTTTTTAAAAAAATAAATTATTTTTATATATATTATTGGTCAAAATAGTACATTGAAGATCGATCATGTGAAAGTCTAAAAGTACTTATATTTGTGGATAGAGAGAAGTGGGCTTATTTGGGAAAGCTTATAGCAGCTTCTCTAAAATCAAAAGCTCCTCAAATATTACAGCTTTTGTCCACATTCTAAAGCTGATGTAGTTGCGTAATTCAAAGATAAACTAGAAGCTAGATTCACCTTAGCTTGCTATAACACAACTTGCCATAACCCAACATGTCATAAAAAACCATCCTTATTTAAACCCATGGATAAGATGTTAATGGTTTTGAGATTTAAAGTACCAATAGTAGTTGGTTTTATAATTAAGGGATCAAAATCAGACAAGTTTATAGTGAAAGGAGCTAGATACATATTTTTTTTAATTAATTGACAACTCTGATGTCATTGCGGGGAAAAAAAAAGAAAAGTCAGATTCATCTTAATTCATTGTCTGAATGTGTATTTAATCCCTATTGAGAAAAAACAAATGTACCTTATGCCACTAACAACGAAGGTCGACTACTGTAGCATTAAGAATGCTCCCACTCAGATTCCATTAGCTGGCTATGACCCATTCGCACACATGCCCACATTTAGGTCAATGACTGAACACACCAATTAGCTGGCCATGACCCATTCGCACTCAGATTCTATTAGCTTATGAGAACATCTGCCAGTCCTCTTCTACTAGGATGCAATTCTGAACTCTCTTTCCTGTTCCGTGCTACTAGTTGAAGCCTTGGAGTTGGAGGGGCGACCTCGACATGGTTGGAGGCGGATTGACCATCGGCGGATGGTTCGCAGGAGCTGTGATCGCCAACTTCGTGGGCAAGGCGCGTTCCATCCTGGAGGAGCGCCATGAGCTGCATGGTGACGTTGCGGGTGTTTAACGTGGAGGCTTCCCTTGTTCATCTGCAAGCAGTGCTTGATGTCGCGGAGCGAAGGCCCGTCGTCGATGATAATTTCACCGGCTGGCTGGAGTTGATCAAGAAAATTGCTTCTGAGGCGGAAGAGCTGCTGGATGACTTTGAGATCAAGAGAATACAAAAGAGCCAACAGAACAAGGTTAGCGGTTTTCTGGCATACATGATGAAGAATCTGGGTTTTGTTGATGATGACATATACAGACTGAAGACTCTCCTGGCAAGGCTCGACAAGATTGCCAGTAAGTCTGGAAATTTTTTTGACTTGTTAAAATTGAATGATTCTAAAGAGGATATGGTAGGGTTTCTTCCAGAAATACAAGTAGTGTTCCATGGTCGTGAGAAAGAGAAGGACCAATTAATGAGCATCATATTTCCAAATGAAGCACAAGCTGAACATTTTCCAGCATCCAGAATGCAGGAAGAGACACGGGGAACTGCAACTGTGAAAGTTGTATGTATCGTAGGCGAGGCTGGGGTAGGCAAAACAGCACTTGCTCAAGTAATCTATAACCACCCTAATGTCAAGAAGGCCTTCAATCAGAGAGGATGGGTCTCTCTCTCTCAAAGGTCTGACTCAGAGGATTTCATCAAGAAAATATTTTGTTCTTTTGCAGCAGAACAGCATCCTTTTGATTCTGAAATGGGTCTGGAAACACTCCAAGCTAGTTCGGAACATGATCTCTCCAGGACCATACAGAACAAGAGATTCTTCCTTGTCCTTGACAATGCAAAGGATAACCTGCAACGTGAATGGAAGACTGTGAGAGCAAAATTAACTGGAGCAGCAGCAGGGAGCATAGTACTGGTGACAACTAGATCAGAAGTGACTCATGCCATTCCAGGAGGTATAGTTATAACTTTGGATAAAATTCCAACATCTGTTCTCTCGATGATTCTGAAGCACCACGCGTTTGGACTCACCAGAAAAGATTCTCTGGAATCAATTGGTGACAAAATAGCTGGTAAGTTGCATGGCCTGCCCTTATCGGCAGAGGTAATCGGGAGGCTTCTCAGAACGAAGTTAGATGAAGACCACTGGCGAAATGTTTGTGAAAGCAATTGGTGGAATGACTATGAAGATCTGGTCATCACTAATCCTGCTTTACCTTCAGTAACGATTGCACTGGAATTCCTCAGAAATGACCTAAAGAAATGTTTGGGTTACTGTTCCATGTTCCCATCCAGTTATTTATTTGACAAAAGAAAAATGACTCAAATGTGGGTGTGTAATTCTATGCAACAACATCAAGAATCCGCATATGAGATCACAGACATTCGATGGCTTGATGAGCTCTTGAACAGGTCACTTATCCAGTCAACTGTATGGAAGGGTAAATATACAGTGAATGAAATGATCAAAAAAGTTGTGGCCTCCATAAATCAAACAGGATGTTACACAATAGACGATTTACACAGTCCCAGACAAAACCTTTCCAATATCATCCACATGGCAGTTGACAAATATGATTTCGAAGTGTCATTGGACCTAAGAAAACAAAGCAAGGTACGGAGCATTTTATTTTTTGATGGCCAGAGAACAACCATGCTGAATACAGCCCTTAATAGCATATTGCCTGTTTCAAGTTCCCTGAGGGTGTTAGACCTGTCTTGCATTGAAACTAAGATGGAAAGGCCCCCTGATGTCATCAGTACATGCTCTCACCTAAGGTACTTGGACCTATCCTTCACTGGGATCACAATGTTTCCAGACTCATTCTGTAAGCTACTCCTTTTACAAGTTCTAGGTATGCGAGGATGTAGATTCACAGAGTTACCTAGGGATATGAATAAGCTAGTCAACCTGCGATATTTATATGCAGAAGCTTGCACACTCTCTTTGATACATAGTATAGGCCAGCTATCCAAGCTTCAATACTTGGAAGAATTTGCTGTCAGTGAAAAGGAGGGGTATAGGATAACAGAACTGAAGGATTTGAATTACCTTGGTGGCCATCTTTGTATTACGAATCTTGAGAAAGTGGCATGTGTGAATGAGGTGTGTGACGCGCGTCATGCTGAGCTGTCTAAAAAAATGTACCTCCAGAAGTTGGCTCTAAAGTGGAATTCACAGCCAGCAACACTTGATGGTTGCACGGAAACTGTTTCACACCTAAAACCAAATGGACAACTTAAGGATCTCGAGATCCACTGCTACATGGGAGTGAAGTTTCCAGGATGGATAGCAGATGACCAGCACTTCACCACACTGCGATACATTAAATTCAGTGGCTGTAAAAAATTGGTAGAACTTCCACCTCTTGGAAATCTTTCTCACCTTGCGGTTCTAATTCTACAAGGCTTGGAACAAATAAAAGATATCGGAAAGGAATTTTATGGCAGTTATGACAGGGTATTTCCATCCCTTGAAGAACTGACGTTCCGTGACATGGAAAATTGGAGGAGGTGGATGGATATAGCACCAACACAAATTATTCCACGGATCAGAAAGATTGTGATAAAGAATTGCAGAAAGCTAGTTGATCTCCCCAAATTTGTTCTTGTAGGATCCCACGAACTGGTAGAATTGTAAGAACAGAAGAAGCCGAGGAGGAAAACATGACATGTTTAAAAGTTCATGATTGTTTGGCAATCATGATTGATCTCCCAAACCATTTGTTGGCGTCAACCGAGGTATGGAATCTTCAAATCTGTGAAGTGTGCTTCCAAGGAGAGTAAGAACATAAGCAACTAAGGGAGGTTCTTGAATCTTGACCATTATTGATTGTATTGAAGTGAGACAGAGGAAGAAAAGAAAAAAAAAGCTAGCCTTGTCTTCTTTCTTGAATCTTGATCATTATTGATTTTATTGATTATTGATTGTATTTTTTCTTCTTTCCTGGCTATTGTCTCCTAGGACTCTAGCCTTGTAATTTTTCTCCTGCTCTATTCAATGAATCTTCGCGATGTCTGGTGCGGATCGTTCAACAACCAGATTTCTGGTGTGAATCCTAGTTTTTAAGACAATTAGTGGTCTATGAGGAATGCAAAAAAGGTTTCAAAGCTATCGACTACCCCCTTGGCTTCATTTTCACCCCAACTAGTTCGGGCCCACACCTCACCCACCCCAAGGAGGCAAACAAGTATGTTTACCGATCTCCTTAATAGCCGTACCAAGGGATAAAACTTGCTATATTTTGGGACATATGAAGTATTTTAGAAGGATTGGTTTAACAAAATATGTCTTCACAAAACCATATTTTGCAGGTTAGCATCTTAATGCATACTATAAGGTTTCACCAGTAATTTTTCAACAAAAAAAAAATCAAGGCCCCTTGCAGTTTACAATGGTCAAGATGGATATGTCAGTTTCTTCTCAAAAACTTAGAAACTACAGTGCTATATTTTGGTTGGCTTTCCCATTTCCACCACACCTATCATCCATTTCAGGAGCAATGATTTTCTTGAATTTTGCAGTTTTCAGGTTACTGTGTATAATATATTAAGAAGTTGGTGGCTAATCTTGAAGAACAAAACAATTGAGTGAAGAGGCCACGGTGTAGCAGGTAAACAAGTTCCCTGACTAATTGCAATCTCGGACCATAGGAAGAGCAAGAGGAAAGGCAAACCTTTTACCATCAGATAGTCCACTTCTGTTTATGTTCTTTTTACATTATGCTGTAATCTGATATCTACAGGTTTCTTATTGCTCCTATTAATATAGCAAAAGCACTCCACTGGATTTTCGAAAAAAAAATACTATGTACTTCCTTTGTTTCACAATATAAGATGTTTTAGGTTTTGAATAGATTCATGCATGGATTTATGTATGTACTCCGTTCTTCATTTATGTGTCCAAATTAATATGTATATGTGCGACTCTAGACGAGAGATGGAGAAGCCAAAATGTCTAATAATATGGAAGAGAGGGAGTATTATATTTTCTATCAACCTTTTAGCTCTCAGAGTTACCCTTTTTTCAGAATCATTGACAGAGTGAGGTACAATGTACATGGGAACTGCTAGTCTGTAGATTGTTCGTTATGTATTCAGAGGCTGCACAAATAGACCTGAATGTTTGAACTATCTATGATTTGAAGAATTCGCCCACTTGAAACATGGGACCTTCTAGCAACATGAACAGGGTTCACGCGGAGATTAGCCATGCCACAAGAAAGATAAACATAGCCCGTATTACCACACAGAATGCTGCAATGCTATATTATACACAAAGAGCCGAAGAGGACAATCATATTTAATACTGAGAACGGCAGGCGCGCGATGGGGGGCGTACCTTAATTCCGAGTTACTCCATCAGAAAGATACCACTGCATTGTCATCGAATAGGACGGCTGCATGCCACCGCATGATTGCGGATTCCCGGCCACTTCAGATGATCAAATCGACGCCTTCATCTGTCCGCACCTGGTGCAGAGCGAAGAGCGGAGTCAGGGAGAAGTGCGCATTTCGTCGAGCAAGTGGCGAGCACCACTCACCTGGGCAAAGAGACGGCCCGCAGAAGCAACCAGCGGAGGAGAGGAGGGGGAGCTCGCCTGCATCACCTAGGCACCGCCTGCCTCGTGAACGCCGACACGGTTCAGGAGCCCGTAGAGGTAGAGGTAGAGCGGCTAGGGCCATCGGCCTCCGCCGGCGTGTCCTCACTCGGGACTCGGGAGAGGGCGTGAGGCTCGCCGCCTCGCGCCCTTCGGGGAAGATGCAGAATTTTTATTTTATTTTTCTGTTCTGACCTTTATTGACACGTCTCACGCAGCAGGGGTTAGGCCTTGTTCAGATAAAAAAAAATTGTGGCAAAAAATGTCACATCAAATGTGTGATATTAAATAGAAAAAAAAACCAATTTCACAGTTTACATGTAAATTGCGAGACGAATCTTCTTTTTTTTAGAAACACAATACAAACGCAGACGCTCACAACGTGCGCACACTCACCCCTATAAACGCACACACGTACACCCTACCCCTATGAGCACCTCCGAAAGACTGAGCCGACATGTCTTGAAATTGACGAAGTCACCACAGGCGCCTCGCTGTCGACGGGTTCGTCGCCTACCACTGAAAGAATAATTAGCCGTAAATGCGAGCACCCGTGTCAAATCTAGGATTTGAACTTGGATGGGCTGGTTCCACCACAAGGAACCTAAGGAACTTTTGCGAGACGAATCTTTTGAGCCTAATTATGTCATGATTTGATAATATGGTACTATAGTAAATATTTGCCAATGATGGATTGATTAAGCTTAATAAATTCGTCTTGTAGTTTACGTGCGGAATCTGTAATTTGTTTTATTATTAGTCTACGTTTAATACTTCAAATGTGTATCCGTATACTTAAAAACTTTATACCCAAAGCACTAAACACACCCTTAGGATTTCTTTCTTTTAACTTTACTTGACGGAGTTGCATTGCTTCAGCTCATTTAGCCGTATCCAAAATTTAAAATTTGAAATTAAAGTTAAATTTCACATTGATGTTTTAAGTCGTTAAAAACACCTATAAAAGTTGTTCCTATAAATAATATTTTATCGCTAATAAATCTTTTGGATAATCAGTTCTAGACGAACTGATGGTCGACTATAAAGAAAAGACAATTATATACATAAAATTTGTAGTAATTGAACTACATACTGAGAAATTTCGGCTACTTCTTAGGTCCAACAATATAAGCATTTCTAGGTTATTTTTATCAGATTATAAGTTGAGGTGATTAATATGGCAAGTACTCATTCCAACCTAAACTTGACTTGTATTTACAGCTAATTTTATATGTTATAAGTACTGGACAACACGCCCGTTGAGATCGAATGTCTGGTGACTTCATAAATATTAAGATATCTAGCTCGGTTTTTAAAGATACTTATAAAGATAAAATATACATGTGTGCATTTATAGAAGTTTAGGATCACCGTGCACGCTCACTTTTACTGATTCCAGATTCATATCTGAATCGTCGAAAGTTTGTGCAAGTCAAAATCTTCGCCGGGCTTGTCCAAGTTGATTTAGAAATCATCACAATCAAAGGCATGCTAACATCGATTACAATTTACAAAACGCCATTTAGGTGATCTCTCAGCCTGATGTTTCCTCAGTCATGTACAACTTTTAAGGGGCGGAGGCAAGGAGGCAAGCCTAGGGCAGCTTGGGCATAAGCCCTAGGCTTGCCACCATAAACTTGCCTAAATCCTTTTAAATCACCATGTATTTTTTTTAGAAAGCCAATATCCTATTAGATGAGCCCTACTTAAGCCCTAGGCGTAGAAAATTTCTGGCTCCGCCACTTAATACAAGTACAACAGCTCTGCAAACCGCAGTCAATTCCATTGCTCTTCATCGATTCTTTGGCTTTTAAATCACTCCTGGAACAACCATCAGCGCTATCAGTTAGATGCTGGATCATGATCACCAATTTTACAGGCGAATGCGGCAGGAGACATGTCAGATGTTACATGGGAACTTTTTTCCTGACGCTTTCCAAGTGCTTCAGGTGTGAAATTAACCCCCGATCTCCTCCGATTTCTGTGGAGAAAGATTAACCGAACAAGAACCAACAACTAGCTAGCATGATGCGTCGATATAGCTTGAGAGAGGAGCCAACTGCCGGCTATCTCATTTTCAGAAGCCCATTTCACCAGTTCAGTCTGGACAATGCCTTTGACACTCCGGATATCAGTCACGTTACGTAGCTGCATCATATTAGTTCCTCTGCTGCAACGCACAAAGACACCGTTGGTTGTCCTGGACCTGGTACAACATCAATTACAAGTTAATTAGCATTTAGCATCAACAATCTCCTTCAAACGAAATAAAAGGCACCTACAAATCTTGAAGGCCAAATGTTACTTGATCATGTGTTTAAGATAAGCTAAGAATTCATCCAAAGAAACGCATTAGATTACTAGCATATTGCCCATGAGTTGCAAGGATATTTTAATTAAAGAAAATTATTATTAACCCATTATTAACATATATCATCTTTTAATTTACATATATATATATATATATATATATATATATATATATATTTGTTACCGACATATGTATTCTCTAGGCTCCACACTATCTTTTTTTCCTTTCCATAAAAAATAAGGAGTTGGTGGTGGTGGTGGTTGACATATGGACCATACATTTCCTTTTTTTTTTCCAAATAGTAGGGAGTTGGTGTTGAGAGTGGTGGCAGATTCACCACTCACCACTACTCTCTCTTTTACAGGAGTATCGATACTGTTCACCAACACTAGCACCCATTTTACCTGCTCTCTGTTTTGTTATTTTTGAACAAGTTGTGTGATATAACTACAACAGCAGAAAGCACTAAGGTTAATATCAGCTCACTTGACACGCGACAAGCACAATCCAAATTCCAGAATCTACACAAATACAAGCCTATAATGTGAATTGTCATTGGTATATCGCTGGATAATTTGATTGTCATTGGAATACACACACACACACACACACACACACACACACAGAGAGATGTAAACAAATCATCAAACTCTACCCCAAACTAAAAATTTATCAAATTATCAAAGCAACATATCATTGGATCATTGGATGTATTCCATGTTTCTTCTGGAAAATGAAAAATCAGGCTAAAGTTGGTTCATTGTCAATGCCTTATAATATACATCCAAGTCAAACTCCATTGATGCAATTATTTGGGGATTTTTTTTCAAATTTATTTGATGACCACGTAATTAGGATTGGCATGATAAATGGTACAGCATGTATGAATAGTTTGCTTTGATTTACCGCAGTAATAAGAGGGACAACAACAGAAGTAGTCAGTGACAAATTGAATAAGACTGAATCAAGCAGTACTACAGTAGCATGAGCAAATTAAAGGAAGTTAAAAAGAAAGAAAACGTACTAGAAAAAATGGTCAAACACTTCTACACAAGAATACCTTTACACAGATTTCGGAAAGCTGCACGCTGAAGTTTCACAGATAAAAATTCTGTATAATATCTCCATTCACACGGATATAAGGAATATGAGCAATCTTTGGCCAGTCTTCGCCCCTACTCTTGAGCCACACATCTTCATTATTTTCCAGTTCATCTGAATTATTCTTCAGCCAGTCCTCTTCTTCATTCTCTAACCACTCTCCCTTATCGTTCAGATGATCTGTAGCACTCTCCACCCACTCTTCCTCATACTTTAACCACCCTTCCCAGAACTCACATGTTTTCTTCTGTCGGTACTCGTTTATCGTCTCTTTATGCCATTCCCCTCTCTTCTTCTTCACCCATGTCTCTCCATCTTCCTTCTGGCATCGTGCCTCTAGTATAGGTGAGCATCCTAATATTTGTAACTCTCTTAGGTTACCTGGTAGGCCTTTCAATGGTAGCGAGTGAATTTGGAAACATGACTGCATATTTAACTTCTTCAGGGATGACAGAGTGACCAAGTTTGATGGGAGCTGCCTTAGCAGGTAGCAACAAGAGAACTCAAGCTCTTGTAGGGATGTAATCTGCTCAAGCCACTTCTCTTGGTGAAGAGAGATCACATCGATCTTGTGGAGACACAGAGTTCGAAGTGCTGAAAGCTTGCAAAGAAAATTATCAAGATCTGAAGACTGGGAAAGGTTATCCATTGTAAGGTCAGTGAGATATTGTAAAGTATGCATAAATTCTTCTTTTTGCGGAGAACCGGGAAGGGGGAGTTCTCTCCTTTTTGTACCCAGCTCTTTGGCTATATTGAGGAGTCCACTTTTGAGAACAAGTGACTGGTCTTTGCCCAACCTTATTTCCCAGTTAGAAAACAGTCGGTTAATCTCTTCCTCAACTGTCGATATGATTTTGCGGCAGCCAGAAATATGTAGATTTTTAAGGTTGTTAAGACGAAGAATTCCACCCTCAAAGTATAGCTCCTTACAATTTGAAAGATGCAGATTCTCCAATGATATCAGGTTTTGACATGGAAGGATTAACTTCTGGGAGCAATCATTTATGCTCAAGTGTGTGAGGCTAGTTAGTTTTTGCAAATACCTGAAGACTGTTTCAGCATATGATCCACAACCCGTAAGAGAGAGTTTTCTGATAGCTAAGCCCAAGGACATCAAAGGTAGTTCCCTCAAGTTATCACATCTATTAATCTGCAGATTTTGCAGGTTTGAAAAGCTTTCTTCGTTCTGTGAATCTGCCCAATTTTCCAACTTCCCCATAGACTCAAAACACAGGATTTCCAAAGATTTAAAGGCCACATTTGAGGTTCCATAGACATCAGAACTAACATCCTTCATGGAGGGCAGCTCATGCAAAATTAGTTTCCTAAGATGCTCAAGCTGTCCAAAAGGAGGAAGCACCTGGAGTTCTGTACAATGGCTTATCTCAATAACTTTTATATACCGGAGTTGTACGACCCAATCTGGAAAAGCCAAACCTGTGTAGCCAAAAAATTTTATCGTCTGCAGATTTCTTGGTGGGGACAAACACTCTAATATCTCCATGTCTTGATCAGGTTTAATTACCTCTGGTGGATTCATCAGATATCCTGATATATCTGAAGTATAATTCTTCTCAACTAAGCTAGCTTGAAGTGGCTGCTTTTGACCTCTGTCGAATTGACTCAACTCCTTTCCATATAGATTATATTTACCTCTAGAAGACTGATTTCTATCCCACTTCAGAGCTAAACAGGTAACATACTCCTTCCTTCCTAAGTTAGCCTGAATTGCCTCTTCTCGATTAGCCACCCTCTGTAGATCTGATATACAAAGGGACCCTTGGATATACCTCATGTCCTTTAACTCAATTAACGTGTGACCATCCTCTGCTTTAACACGGTATTCATATAAGTCTTGGAGCCTGGTAAGCTGTCCAATGCCATGAATTAAAGCAACCGTATCTGCATCTGCATGCAAGTGCCGTAGGCCAACTAGTGAGTTCATTCTTCTTGGTAATTGTGTGAATCTACAACCTCTCAAACCAAGAACTTGGAGATTGCACAAGCTACATAATGAATCAGGGAGTTTGGTTATCCCACTGTGTGAAAAATCCAAGTATCTGAGGTGAGTCAAATAGGGCAGCATCTGATGTGTTGTGGTGAACTCCACAAATTGTGCAATGCCATCTTCTTCAAGTGGATAATCACCAATGCATGCTGTTGCTGAATTTGCTCTCAAGTTAGATAAGCTCAACAAGCGCAAGCTTGTTGACCTATTTAGAATGCTACCAATAATGTCACAATACCTTTTCAAAATGATAGCAACGATATCAACTTCCCCATCATCAAAACTGAAAGAGGACCACTCAGAAATGTTATCAGCAGTGTCCTTGTCAGTAGTGTTATAAGACCTCTCAGAAATGCTATCAGCAGCATCATAACTGCCCTCCAAAATGTTGTAAATGTTGTTGAAACCTTTGCTAGAGTTGTTATGACGGAAGCCACCGAATAATATTAATGATCGCAACTGTTTAATGCTATACTCGGTCCATGGTATATTCATAGCATCCATATCTACGGACAAGTGACGTACACTTCGTGGGAGATTTCCCATTGTACAATCAACACCCTGATATTCATTAGAAGATAAGGCGATTGCAAAGTCTCTAACCCAACTATGCATAATATACCAAGCTTTCCAAACTGTCGGTTGTAAGAAGCACTTATTGACTAGTTCATCAAACCATTCACCAGCTACATCCTCCAGTTTTCTTGCAACAGTAGTGTTGTCCAGTTCAACAAAACCATTAGCTATCCACATTTGGATCAACTCATATTTTTCAAATAAATAATTTCTAGGAAAGATTGAACAAAATACCAGGCATTGCCTCAAATATGCAGGTAATTCACTGTGACAAATTCCGAAAGATGATATTATGTGAATGTCGAAGCTGCAGCTTGAAACATTCCACCACCAACTTTCTAAGACTCTCTTCCAATACGCTTCATCCAAACAATTTCTTAATGATGCCCCAATGAATTTCGCTGCCAAAGGAGATCCATGTACTTTATCTACAATTTTTCTACCAATTGGTTCTAGAGCTTCTGTACTTTGATAACTGGCAAATGCATGATGCTTAAAAAGCTTCCACAGGTCATCATAATGTAGATAATCCAAAAATACTGGAGTTGTAGTTCCCACAAAGCTGGCCACACTATACAGATTGGTTGTTACTAAGACAACACTTCCAGGTGCTCCCTTCTTCAGTGCACTCCTTAAATCGCCCCACATTGCACGTATCTCATCAGATACATCATCAAGCACAAGCAAGAACCTCTTGCCTTCTATGACGCTCTGAAGTTGGACACGGAGGCTGTTTAGACTGAAAGCATGGTCCAGCATATTATGCTCAGGTTGCATCGATACAAAGATCTGCGCCATCGGTTCTTCTTTCCTGATGTTGTCAGTGAAATACACCCATGCGGAATTACCGCGGAAGTGCTCCCGCACCCTTTCGTCGTCGAAGATGAACTGAGCAAGAGCTGTTTTCCCCACTCCACCCACTCCAACAATTGGAATGACAGTTGGATTGCACATTGAACTGACAGTGCTGCTCTGCACCCTGGTGTATTTCACTCTGCTGCCCATTTCTTTCTGGTATGCTGCTGCTGATTCTGCAGGTTGGTTTCTCTGGTCAGATAGATCTATGCTCCGGAGGGCATCGATGATCCATCCTTTCCGAGAAATCTGTGATCCATCAGCACTTGCCCTCTCCTCAACCGATTCATCCGCCACGAAACGGGCATCATCCAGTATCATCTCCAATATGACACCTATTTCCTCATCTCGCCCAACAACAAAGGGTTGGTCAGGGCCAGGGGGCAAAGCGGCGACGTCATCCCCCGGGGTTTCCAGTCCATCCTCGTCCAGGCCCGGCACGGGAAGAAGCGATTCGACCTCGGAGCACGCGCTGACGAGCTTGCCGACGGTGTACTTCACCCCGAGGAGGAGGCTGCTACTATCGGAAGCTGCGGCCGCCGCGGAAGCCTCCATGGCGTTGACCAGCTCCTCCGCCTCGTCGGCGGCCTCCTTCACCTGCCGCAGCCACGCGGCCGCCTCTTCCTCCCTGTCGGCGTCGACGCCCTGCAGGCTCTCGCCGCGGAGGATGCTGAGCTTGTCCTCCAGCAGATCGAGCATCTTCATGGTGCCCCTGTACTTGTGGGCGTCGCTGCTGCCTCCCAGGTGGAGACGCAGCTTGCCGACCACCCTGGCGATCGCCGCCGGCAGCGGCCATCCGTTATCTTCTACTAGCTCCTCCATTCTCGCGATTCGCGAGTTGCAGGGGAATGGGGAATTTGGGCGGGGTGACAGTGATAACGACAGAGTGAGGCTGCGTCACCGGGAGAGAGAGAGAGAGCAAGGCTGTGTTTAGTAGGGGAAAAGAAAATTTTTGGGTGTCACATCAGACGTTTGACCGGATGTTGGAAGGGGTTTTCGGACACGAATGAAAAAACTAATTTCAGAACTCGCCTGGAAACCGCGAGACGAATCTTTTGAGCCTACTTAAGCCGTCATTAGCACATGTGGGTTACTGTAGCATTTATGGCTAATCATGGCCTAATTAGGCTCAAAAGATTCGTCTCGCGATTTATAGCTAAACTGTGCAATTGGTTTTTCTTTTTGTCCACATTTAATGCTCCATGCATGTGTCCAAAGATTCGATGTAATAGGTGAAGGGGAAAACTTTTGGGAACTAAACTGGCCCCAAAGGTAAGGGCCCCTTTGAATCGCAGGATTGAGAAAACGTAGGAATAGGAAAAACGTAGGATTTTGATAGGAATGTAAGTGTAAAACAAAGGATTGCAAAACACAGGAAAAATACAAGAATGACTGTTTGATTGAACCACAGGAAAAACACAGGAATTGGATGAGAGAGATAGACTCAAAGGAAAGTTAGCAAGAGGTTGAAGCTCTTGCTAAATTTCCTCCAAAATCTCTATAGGATTGTCCATTCCATAGGAATTTCAAAGGATTGGATAGGATTCAATCCTTTGTTTCAAAGGGCTTCATAGGAAATTTTTCTATAGGATTGAAAACCTCTAAAATTCCTATGTTTTTCCTTCAAATCAAAGGGGCCCTAAAAATGTTGGATTGCGGTATGACCGGCGTTGACAGCGAGACTTTATTTTTTTTAAAGGGTGAATAGCTAAGAGCACCCGCAATGGTAAAGTAAGGTGCTCTCTATAAAACATGTACATCTCAGCAATAAACTCGATTAATAGTAAACCACCTTAATAGTATGTCTACATTGGTATCTATAGCTCTCTCATGCATTGCCTCGTTTTTCTCTATAGACTATCTCTAAGTTAGTAGATAGTTTTGCTCTCTCTCTCTTCATTTAATACCTTCCAAGTAGGAAAATATGCTGACATGGATCTCTTATAGAGAGCCTATAGATAACCATTGTGGGTGCCCTAATATGGTTCCTAAAGTGCTTTGGGTTCAGTTCAATCCTTGAGGTTTCAAATCGTCCAAAGAAAGTCCTCCAAAATAATCATTTGTGTTAATATAGTCCTTGGACCACAAAAAGTGACACGTGCGTATGCCAAGTCATCCTCATATGCAGTGATATAAATGAAATGGCCATTCTACTCTTATATACTATATAGAAAAGAAAAGAAAAAAAGATAAATGTCTCACACATGTATGATCGTTTTAGAATTGTCACTTACGATTGCTGCAGCTAACCACTAATCCTATCTTACTATAAAGTTAGTGGGGTCCTTAAGCTTAACATGCAAAGATGTCACATCATCATCCACTAATTAACAAGATGCCACATCATCATCCACTAACAATCATCATATTTAAACATCATGCAAACAAGCTATATCTTTATAGTTTTTATAATTTAAGAGCTTTTCAAATAGAAACATGTTAAATTATCATCCAACATAATTCACATAATGTTTCAATGTATATCTTTATTATGTTTTATGATATCCTATATACTTATATAGTTCATCCTCACTTAATCTGATGTTATCTAGCTATCTTACACGTTATTTTTTTATTATTATCATACTAAATTTCCGCAGCAATGCGCGGGGTTTCACCTAGTTGTATAAATTCCTTTGTCGGTCACCCTCCGCAACAATGTTGGGCCTGGACTAGCCTGTTATTTTTTTTTCTATTTGTGTCTTTTTTTTTATTGTGGTATATAAGGGTAGAATGGTCATTTCATTCATATTGCTACATGCGAGGATGACTTGGCATGCTCACGTTGCATTTTTTTGGGCCCAAGGGCTATATTAACCCAAATAATTATTTTAGAGGACTTGTTTGGACAATTTAGAACATCCAGGACTAAATTGAGCCCGAAGCGAAACTTCAGGGACCATATTGGCTATTTACCCTTTTTTTTTAAGAAATTACAAACACACTCGTAACGCATACACTACCATATATCTCCAAAATACTGAACCGATATATTTTAAAATTGATGGAGTCATCACGAATGCCTTACTGTCGACGGAACTAAAACCAATAAAAAGAACTCACCTTTGAACTTTTTTTCGTAACGAAAATATGGAAAAGTGTCATAGACTCTTAGTGTGTCGTTAAAAGAATGAGTCCATCTCATAATATAAGGGATTTTGCCCATATAATATGTCCTACAATTTTAGGGATTTGGATCCCAAAATAATATACTCCCTCCGTTGTAGAATATAAGAAATTTTAGGATTGGACACGCTTATTAAGAAAGTAGCTAGAACTGAGTGGTCGAGGGTTGTGATTGAATATATCAACTGTTATATTAGTTTATTTTTTCACCAATCAACTCTTGTATTAACTTATTCTCCATCTATCAAATCTTATACTATTTTATTCTTCCATCTATCATAATTTATACTATGTTATATCCTTTTACTATATCCTTAATTTATGTTTAAAACGACATAATCCTTATATTGTGGGACAGAAGAAATATTTTACTAAAACAATTAATAGTACCAATTGAAGGAGCTGTTAATACATGTGTATTCAATTTAATGTTTATTATCAGTACTTGTTTGAGTTACGCAAGCCACTACCCTCATCTTTAAAAGACTTCATTTTTACTTATGGATTTGAACAATTTGCTCGTACCATTAGGAAGACAATCCCTTAAATTAGCCATAAATAATACCCCATTCGTTTTAAAATATAAATATTTTTAGGATTTAAAATTTATACCTCAATAAAAATATTTCTACGGCACTTATTTCAATACAAGAAAAGTCCACACATTTTTAATTCAAATTCAAATTCAATCGTAATAGGTGCTAAACAACCCTTTTACTCACTTTGTTTCATAATATATTGGATATGTTTTTCTTCTGTGCAAAAAATTAAGAAAATAGTATAAGTAAGTCATGGTACAAAAGTTGACAAGTGAGAAATAAATAGGAAAAAAAACTAATATAAAAGTTACTAAATGTTTAACAAAGTTTCTTATATTTCATATAAACGAAAAGGCACATAATCTCTTATACTATAAGAGGGATGAAGTGTTTTGGAGAACTAGGGAGGGAGGTAGGCCTAGTACATAACTCGAACCCTACTCCTATCTCCAAAATTATGGCCTTGTTTAGTTTCCTCTTTTTTAAAAAAAAATCATTAGACACATGCATGGAACATTAAATATAGATAAAATAAAAAAACTAATTGTACAGTTTGTATGGAAAAGCATGGGACGAATCTTTTGAGATTAAATAGTCCATGATTAGTCCTAAGTGCTACGGTAATCCACATGTGCTAATGACGGATTAATTAGGCTTAATAAATTCGTCTCGTGGTTTCTAGACGAGTTATGAAATTAGGTTTTTTTCATTTGTGTTCGAAAAACTTTTCCGACATCCGATCAAACTTCTAACGTGACACCCAAAAATTTTCTCATCCCGAACTAAACAAGACCTATGTTTATTCATAAATTCTGTAGAAATCAGTAATTTTCGGCTTCGCCACTATTTAGATCGTAGAGAGTAAAATCGAAAAGAAAAACTCGGATTCGCCCATGGTTTTGCACGGAGCCATTCGGTACGGGCTCGATCGTGGGAAAAATGGTATTGAAAGCGAAAAACCCAAACCATGGTGGTGCCGACTTGAATCCAACCATAGCATCCACTGCGTCGCGGGCTCGCGGCTGCCTGCTTTGGTCAACTGCCCACTTCGACCACCGCCGAGAGCTCGAGGAATGGTCGGGCCGGAGCTGACGGTCGGCGGGTGGTTCGCCGGCGCCGTGATCTCCAACTTGGTGGCGAAGGTGCGGTCCGCCATGGAGCACCACGCCGCCCTCCGGGCCGCCGCCGGCGACATGCTGTACGGCGTGGAGGCCGCGCTCCCCCGGATCAGGATCCTCGTCGAGGCGACCGAGCGCAGGGCCATCTCCAGGGCCAGCTTCGCCGCGTGGCTGCAGCAGTTCAAGGACGCCGTCGCCGAGGCCGAGGACCTGCTCGACGACCTCGAGACGCGGAGGATCCGGGCGGCGCTCAGGGCCAGGGGCAGCAAGCTCGGCTCCGCCACGTCCCTCGCGCTCAGGTTCCTCAGGAACCTCGTCCTCTCCGATGGGGATCTCCAGAGGCTCAAGGACGTCCTGGCCAAGCTGAACAGGATCACCAGCGACGCGACCGGCTTCCACGACATACTGAAACTGGCCGACGACGACGTGGGGGCGATGCGATCGGTCCTTCCGGTGCCAGCCACCCCGCCGGCGGTCATCGGCCGGGACGAGGAGCAGCAGCAGCTTGTGAAGATGATTTTACGCCCCGGCGCACCGCCGTGTCCTCAGGATGGAGCTGAATCCTGCTCTGGTGTTTCTGTCATATCAGTTGTGGGAGCAGCTGGTGTGGGCAAAACCACTCTTGCTCAGCTGATTTACAGTGATCCAAACGTCAAGGAGGCTTTCCTGTTGAGGGGATGGGTGTTTACCTCTCGTAGCTGCAGTCGAACGGGTCTCGAACAAGATATCATCGAGTCTTTTGCGTCTGAGCAAGAGGAAAATCTGCAAAGAAAGTCGGTTTCATCAGAAAGCAGTTTGATTGATGTCGTACGAAACAAGAAGTTCTTCCTAGTCCTAGATGATGTGCAGCATAATCTGCACAGCCAATGGGATTCCCTAAGGTCGACACTGGCAAGAGGAGCAAATGGCAGTGTTGTATTGCTAGTATGTCAATCGAAAGAAGTCGCAAATAGTTTGGGAGCGACAGCTCAGGTTCCAATGGGTTACCTGCCATCTCCAGTGCTCTGGAGAGTATTTGAGCACCATGCATTTGGGAATCAGAAAAGAGCTTCCCTCGAGTCAATTGGTAAAAAGGTGCTCCAAAACTTGCATGGATTGCCTTTGCTGGCAGAAGCAATTGGAAGGCTTCTGAGACAAAGATTAGATAAGGCGCATTGGCAAAAAATTTCCTCGAGTCCCTGGTGGCTCTTTTCTGAAGATGAAGACGATGTTGCGCTACCTTCAGTGGCAATTATGTGTGAGCATCTATGTGATCATCTTAGAAAGTGTTTGTGCTATTGTTCAATATTCCCATCTGGTTATTTGTTTGAAAAGAATATGTTGATTCACATGTGGATAGCTAGTTTCATGCAACAACATGACGGGATTGGGATGAAAGAAATGGAAAAGGAATGGTTTGATGAGCTTTTCCGCCGATCATTCTTTCAGCCCACAATCTGGAAAAATAGGTACATCATGCCTGATATGATTAGAAAGCCATTATGTTCCATTGCTGGAAAAGAATGCCATGCTGCTAGTGAGTTGGGAGAACAGAAAAGACGGCTCCAAGATTACCGCCACCTAGCCATCAGTTTTCCTGATTTTAATGTGCACCTAGACTTGAGAAAGGACAACAAGTTGCGGACCATTTTGCTTTTTGATGGTCGCAAAACAATCAAACCACACGAAGCATTTGCTAATATTCTGTCACACCTAAGTGGCCTGCGAGTATTAGATTTCTCTTACAGTGAAGCTAAATTGGAGAAGGCTCCTGATTTCATTAACAAATTCACACACCTAAGGTTTCTGGATCTCTCCTTTACTGGGATGACAGTACTTCCAGACTCCCTCTGTAAGCTGCACCTACTACAAGTTCTTGGATTACGAGGATGTCAGTTCAAGGAGTTACCTAGAGCTATAAATGAGTTAGTGAACCTCCGGTTCTTATATGCAGAAGCTCACACGGTTTCCTTGATATACAAGATAGGGAAGCTTACTAATCTCCAAGGGTTAGATGAATTTCTTGTTGGTAGAATGGATGGGCACAAAATAACAGAACTAAAGAACCTGAATGAAATCAGTGGACAACTATGTATTGGAAATCTGGACAAAGTAGCAAGCACAGATGTAGTGAGTGATGCTGAATTATTCAAAAAAAGGCACTTAAAGAAGTTGGTATTCAGATGGGGGTTGACAGCATGCAAACCATTAGCCGAAGCTGATGGTTTCATGAGAACTCTTGCTGGCTTAAAACCAAATACAAATCTTGAAGAACTGAAAATTCAGTGCTACATGGGAGTTGGATTTCCATCATGGATGGCGGAAGAGCAGTACTTCATCAATCTGCGGCGCATCCATCTTATTGAATGCAAACAATTATTAACACTTCCACCTCTTGGACAGCTCCCATCCCTTGTAGTTTTAATTCTTCAAGGCCTAACAGCAATTGAGAAAATTGGATATGAATTTTGTGGAAAAGGATACAGGGTATTTCCATCTCTTAAGGAGGTGACATTTCTTGATATGCCAAATTGGAGGAAGTGGTCAGGCATAGAAGAACTACAAGATTTGCAAATTCCTCCATTTCCACAGCTTAGAAAGGTCCAAATCAAGAATTGTGAGGTCTTAATTGACATGCCAGTATGTTGTTTAAAAGCGTCACTTGAGGAGCTTGAGATCTCTGGTTGTAATGAAATATTTGCCTGTAATCCAAGCTGTTTAGATAGATTGACTTCCCTTGTGCGCTTGAAGATCCACCATTGTTTGGGCAAAATTTATCTTCCATGTCGATTGTTGGAGTCAATTGAAGTTTTGAATCTCCAAAGATGTGAAGTTTATTTCCAGGGAGGTAAAGAACATTTAATGAAATTGAGGAGGACTGTAACAAATGATGTTCATGAATTGAATTTGGATGAATCGAAAGCAATCAGTACAGAGCTGTTAGTTCTTAAACTTTCTGAAGGTATGTTCAATTATTTCTTTGTCCAAAATTACTTTGGACAAATAATTTATGAAATAGTATCTTTTATATTCCTGTGTCTATATTATTGGTTTAGACCTTGGAAGTATAGACTAAAGCTTCTTTGAATTGTTTTATATTTTCAGGGTATCACTACTTGTCTTCATGCTTTCTTAACAAATGGAATTTTGAAGCATCTTCAGTTTCCTGAAACAAGTTGGTCTGATGCAAAGTTAGCAAGGATGAAAGAAAGTTTATGCTACTGCTTTTAGGGCATACTTTAGTGGGTTCACTCTCATTATACAAGCTAAAATTTGTATAGGTGAGCTTGTTGAACATAAGGTGCTTCTGCAGGGTGATCTAGGAGGAACATGTTGGATTTTAAGAGGCTAAAGTGGAGGATTTAGGTTTTGTTGAATCACTTCAAGTAGGTTTTTCCATGTTGATAGCCAGGCCGGACAGAACTTATCAAATTCTAGGGTACTTATTAAGCATTAGTTCATTAGGGATGCTGATTAAGAATTCTGCTTATTAAGGTTCTGGCTCCGATCAGCACTTGCAACAAATGCTGCACATTTTAGTAGGTAAAGGTGCAAAATGTGCATCGTGTTGCCTCCGATTTGTAGTTATGTTCATTACAATGAATTAGAGCTGAGAAGTGCAACAAAGATGAAAAGTATCAAGAAGTTGAATGAAGAAGGTTTGCTGTTTGCAATCCATTTTTTTATGCATTGAAAAATAGTTTAAACAAAGTAGTTGCTGGCTAGCTGCGGACTGCGGTCTTGTTATCGTCTTATCCTCTTATATAACTAGTATAAATTTAGTACAAAAAATGCCTAGATCTGTGAATTTGCACTTTTTCACTCTGACAACCCAACTAGTGCTAATTTGGTCTAGATTCCTTCATCTGTGAAAGTGTGAATCTGCCCTTCTCTGACGAGCATTTTTTTTTTTTGAGCAAAGGGCAGAGCCCTCCATTTCCATTAAAGAAACGCATGAGTTCTTACAAAAAAAGGAGTCTTGGAAAACCAGAGGGGAAGAACCCCCAGGTGCTCACAAAAGAAACAAAAACAAAACGAAAGCCAGCTAGCACAGGCCTTAGAGTTTAAGCTATCTCTCCACAACTCATCTCATTTCTCTCCAATTCACCATTGTGTCCTCAACTACCAGCTAATCTTCTTTGCCTGATGCGCCATCCGAACTGCGAGTTGAAGACCTCATTTGCCACTTGTTTTAGCAGTTGTGCTCCCCATTGCAACCTTCCTTGTCTTTCCCCCGAATTCTGCAAAACAGCCCAATCCGACAAAAAGGAACAAGCATTGTATATAATGTCAGTTGGGTTATTTGGTAAGATTTGATCAAAACAAGCCTTATTTCTTGCTTTCCAAATGCCCAAATTATAGCAGCCACACCAACTAGCATTAGTTGTTTTGTAATTTGTCACAAGGTTGAATCCAGGAACTTAAAGCATGTCTCAAGTCTTTAATCTGATTCATACCAAAAGCACAAATCACAACATTCCAAGTGAATCTAACTAAGGGACGGTCAAAAAATAAATGTTGAATTGTTTCTTCTGACGAGCATATTACTGTTGATTTATTGCCTAGATGCATAGATTAGTGAATTTGCCCACATCTGGCTTCACATCTCTTAACAATCAGTTCGAACATCTGCAGGAGGTGGAAGATAATGTGTTCCATTGTTTTGAGCAGGGCAGTAACATCGTTTGAATTTTTTTTTATTTTCTCTTTCCTCTGCAATTTGCTAACTACAATTTACCATGAAAAAGATCCAGTTCACCAGCATGAACAAGGAAAATCCGGAAATTCCAACAACATTCAACCCTGACCCACGAAGAAGGGTGCACTGGCGAAACATGAGATGCGCAAATAGCGTGGCGTACCTCAGCCTTTCGGCGTTCGTCATGTCAGGGAGAGCCGTGGCCTCAGCCGCCGCCACCGCCAGCCCGCCCGTCGGAGTCCAATTGACCGTCACGTCTGAGCATTCGGAATGGTCGATCCTCAGCCCACGCAAAACCTGCCATCCAACAGGCAAGGTTAAATGGAAAGGGAGGCGAGAGCATTTCGTCGAGCGATTGGTGGGCACGGCTCACCTGCCGCGTCGGAGGCCGGAGAGGCAACCGCAAGGAAGTGGAGCCGTGCCACTGCCCACCCCCGACGCTTGCGCCGAGTGCACCTACCCACGCGCCGTCGGACTACCGAAGTAAGCCGCCCGCCATCCACCGGACGACTCCTCGCTCCATCCCGCCATCGCCGCCTTTTAGAAGAGAGTCCCGGTGTTCTCTGCCAGTAGAAATCTAAATTTATATCTAGTTTTATTTAGGATACCACCTATTAATAATAGAAATATGAAAGGGCATAACTGTTAAATAAAATATGAACGCGGAAAGCTAAATTTGTACTACTCTTTTGAAAACTAGCAATGCACAAGTAAGGATCTTCTACCCTAATGTTATTATCATTACAGTCATTAATATGTGTGTCATATTTTTTTATTGTACTACATGTCAGTTTCTGTAATGATAATACCATTATATTGCAGGATGTGAATCCACAATGTATGAACACCATCCACTCCCCTCGATCGGAGCCGTCGTCACCGCCGCCGACGCCATCCATTCCTTCCCAATCTCCAATTGCAGTCGCCGCCTCGTTGCTTCGTTTCCTCCGGACAAGGGCCATGGAATTGGCCGGCGCATCGCCACCCACCTGGTCTAGTGGTCTTGGTCAGAGTTCTGAGGTTTTCTTGTCACGCATGTGTTAGCTCCTAGCTAACCTGCAAATTAGAATTCCACTGGCCTCCTCATCCGCCGTCGTCCCGCCTCTGGGCCGAACGCGAATTACGCACAAGCATGCGTTGTGTGCGTCCGTGTACATGCATGGTACTAGGATAGATCTGGTAAAATCTCCTACCAGAAGAAATGACCATTGTCAGGTGCAGGAGAAGCACAGCCAACCACAGGTCATGTTCAGAACTATCTCATTTTGCAAGCTGAAACATGAAAATTGAGGTTGAACAAGCATCTCGCTTACAAATCATACCATTGAACTTGCACAATAACATAGACTACAAACAAAGTACTAACTGATTGCAGGTACTAAACTGCTATTAACTGATAATACATTATCTAAAGAAAAGTAACTGATAATAATCTAGACCACAAACGACTGAGGTGGTGTTTGGATACATAGACTAAACTTTAGTCTCTATCACATTGAATATTTAGACATTAATTTGGAGTATTAAACATAGATTACTTACAAAACTAATTACATAAATGAGAGCTAATTCGTGTGATAAATTTTTTAAGCCTAATTAATCTATAATTAGCACATATTTACTGTAGTATTACATATGCTAATTATGGATTAATTAATCTCAATAGATTTGTCTCGTGAATTAGTCCAGGGTTATGGAATGAGTTTTTGTTAATAGTCTATGTTTAACACTCTAATTAGTGTCAAACATCCGACGTGACATGACTAAAAATCCGATCCAAACAGCCCCTGAATATCCTCGAACTAGCTTTGCACTAGCACTGGGAAGCCGACGCTGAGGCAGACGTCAGGTGGGACGCCGAGACGGGGAGGTCCTCACCGTTGCCGTGGTGACGATGTCGCCGCAGGGCCTCCGCCGCAGTCATCTTATCGCGATGTCCTTCGCCGCGTCCGCGTCCTCGCCACTGGCCTCCTCCGCGATCGGCTGACTACCACTGTCGTACCAAGCTAGCACAGCCTTACCGCCTGCTAGCTACATGCGCGGGCCTGGCCGCCTCGACTGGCCCAACCAGCCCAATCCCTTCGGCTCTCCGTCGACTACCTCTCCGCGCTATTGTTCAACCCCCTCGCCCTCACCATGTGGAAGTCCGTCGGCGTGTCTCCACCTGGTCGATCCCTCCGTGTCAACCCCCAGCAGCATCAACCTCCACCCTATCGAGGCAGGCGCACCTTCTGTTTGACCACGTGCGGGAGGACACCGCGACAAGATGACGGCCGTGGAGGCTCTACGGCAGCATCGTGGACGGGAACCTAACATGGAGGTAGCAGAAATCGAACAAGGATCGAACCGGAGGATGGTGATCGAATGATCGATAAGGTCCGGAGAGGGCGGCGGAGCAGGGGCGAAGGCAGGCCAGCTGACGAAGACAGTCCCGGTTAACTGGGCTCGGCCCTGGCTGCTGCACAGCCACCGCGGCAGATCTGGGGCCGGCAAGCCCGCGCCCTTGAGGCCTTGAGTAGTTGAGTCTTCTTGAGTCTCTCGACTCTTCCGAGGACGCCGAGCTGATGAGTCTTCACCAAATATCTTTTTTTTTTCTTTTGGAGAAAACAACTTATATGTCCAATATGATATAATCATAGAACTATCATATAGTGTAATGTACGGAATTTCAGCTCAACTCGTTATAATGAAGATAAATTTATTCATGAACTGGTATCAGTTTTTTAAAGATAGGTGACCTATGAATTTGTATTTTTTTCCCCTTACTCCTTCCGTCCCCCCCCCAAAAAAAAAAAAACAAAGGCCAATATGGACAGACCTCTCTATTTCTAGGTTGGCTCTTTTTTTTTTTTGGACGGATGCAGTATATGTTTTCAATTGAAACTAGCATGGTTGCGCGGGCCAGTATTATTATATTTTCTCTCGTATAATAATATATATATATATATATATATATTCTCAATGTATTATTTAAATATATTAAATTCACAACATAATTTTAAATTTTGTACTACCTTTACGAAACTACTAATGTATAATATTCATATTGTATTTTATATACGTATTAGTTATTAATTATTTGTAATATCAAATTTTAGTTATTTGTAAATTATATTCCTATATGGATTCTATACTCGTCTTTCAATTTTTTTTAATTTCGAATTTTCGTTATCTATATAGACTCTAGGCTCTTCTTCCAATATTATTTATTTTTAATTCTGATTTTTATTACTTCTAATTGTATTTCTACGTGTACTCTAAACTCATCTTTAAATATTCTTTAATTTTAAATTTTGAAATTTAGTTATTTGTAAATTGTATTTTTATATGAATTCTAAACTCTACTTTTAATTTTATTATGTTTATTCTAAATTTTATACGTGTACTCTAAACTCATCTTTCAATATTCTTTAATTTTAAATTTTAAAATTTAGTTATTTGTAAATTGTATTTTTATATGAATTCTAAACTCTACTTTTAATTTTATTATGTTTATTCTAAATTTTAGTTAGTTTTAAATTCTTATATGGACTCTATATTAATGCTGAATTTCTATTATTTCTTAATTGTATTTCTATATAGATTCTAGTCTACTCTTCCAATATTTCTTATTTTTTAATTCCGAATTTCAACTAGTTCTAAATTGTATTTCTATATAGACTCTGTTTTTTCTTTTTCTCCGATTAATATGAGAATTTGTAGGCCATGAGAGCGAACGTGGAGGCTCCTTTTTCTATTCCTTTAATAAGTTAATAAATACGATTACAACATGCTATCGATTTCAATGATTATTTAAAATAAAAATTAATCATCAAATTGAGCTAAATAAAATTTTATCAAAGTAAATACTTTGTGTCCAAGTATTTTTAGAAATTTTCTTGAAATTATTTGAGCACTAGAAGTATTTTTCAAACTTTAGAAGATCATTTTGAGGATTAATTTAATCAGAGAAGTAATTAAAACTCCCTCTCCTTTCGGGTCAGAACTGGAAAAGTATGCTTTTCGTCCCTCCTCCAACCGACCTAGTCGCCTCCTCTCCCTCCCAAAAGTCCAGCCGGCTTCCCTCAGCCCCTCCTCTCTCTGGCGTTTGGGCCCCACACCCACAGTGCGTCGTCTTTAAGCTCGGGATGGAGTCCTTATAGCACCCGACCCCATCTCCAGGCAATCCGACTCGATTCGGCCTCTCTATTGCTTATCCTCTAAAATTGATCACGGAAACCAAATCCCCTTGATCTCCTTTCCTTTTTCCCTCAACTAATTTCGAAAAATCTTGAGGATTTGGGAGAATGAAGACCCTGATCGGTGAACCAATCCATGTGTACTACTAACAACTAATGTACTAGTACCACTGCTCTATCTTTTGCTCCAACAATACATATATATATATAAGACCAAGCAGCCCACCCCCTGCGTGGGCCACGAATACGGAGAACAATTTTACTAAAATGATGCAAAGCCTAGATATTATTTCCTGGAACGTGAGGGGGCTCAATTCGGCTGCGCGCTGTAACACGATCCATGAGCTTATGGCAGACACGAAGTGCAGCTTGGCATGCTTCCAAGAGACAAAGCTACAGAATATAGATGACGGTCTCGCCCACTTTTTAGGAGGCTACAAGCTCGACAAATTTGCCTTTAAGCCAGCAAGAGGCACGAGAGGGGGGATCCTCCTCTTATGGAATAGCGCAGTCTTTGACGTCCAAGAGGTCCGAGTCGGCCGCTTCTTGATTTCGGCGCAAGTGACGGTCATACTCACAGGGGCCACATTTCTGCTCACCGGAGTTTATGGGCCCACAAGGCACCACCTCAAAAGCGCCTTCCTTCGGCACATCAGAAGAATAAGGCCCGGCCCCGAGGATGGATGGCTTATCCTTGGAGATTTTAACATGATCTATCGAGCAAGGGACAAAAACAACAGCAACGTCAACCTTGCACGCATGAGACGCTTTCGCTCAACAATCGATCGATGTGAACTGCATGAGATTCCCTTGCAAAATAGGAAGTTCACCTGGAGCAATGAACGACGAAGGGCTACACTTGTTAAGTTAGATCGCTACTTTTGCAACGAGACTTGGGACTTGGCCTTCCCCCACCATGTCCTTCACGCCCTACCCACAGGGCCTTCTGACCACTGCCCTCTAGTCCTCTCCGACCCCCAATGTCCATGTAGGCCGAGTGCCTTCAAGTTTGAGAACTTCTGGACAAGAATTCCAGGATTCAAAGACAAGGTCAAGGATGCCTGGTGTCAGCCTTCGTCACACACAGAGCCTATGCACCACCTAAATGAAAAGCTTCATCGCACCGCGACCTGTCTTAGAGAATGGGCAAAAGGAATCTGCACCGAGGCCAAACTGCAGTTTCACATGGCGGTCGACGTCATTAAAAGACTAGATGTGGCACAAGAACATAGAGACCTCTCTGCCCAGGAAACAAGACTAAGAGCAGCCCTCAAGCGTAAGATCCTTGGCCTCGCTTCCATTGAGCGGGCAAGGAAAAAGCAAGCCTCCAGAGTAACACATATCCGTGAGGGAGATGCGAACACAAAGTTTTTTCATCTCAAAATGAATGCGCGAAGAAGAAAGAACACCATTCATCGGCTGAAAAAAAGACAATGGTTGGGCTGTGACACATGAGGAGAAGGAAGCAACGATCCATGACCATTTTGCGAGCATAATGGAGCGGCCGGCGCCAAGACCAAATGAGCTAAATTGGGATGCCCTTGACATCTCACTGATTGACCTAGCCACCCTAGGGGAGCCCTTCTCTGAACAGGAAGTACATCAAGCAATCAAGGAAATGCCAAGTGACAAAGCTCCAGGGCCAGACGGCTTCACCAGGATTTTCTTTAAAGTCTGCTGGGAAATCATAAAGGAGGACGTCCTTCTGGTCTTCAACTCCATTTACAATCTCAGATGTGCACACCTGAATCTGATCAACTCTGCGAACATCGTCCTAATTCCAAAAAAAGAGGGGGCCGAGGGCGTTTCAGACTTCAGGCCAATCAGCCTAATCCACAGTATCGCTAAGATCTTCTCCAAGATGCTTGCGTTGCGACTAAGGCCTCATATGCACAGCTTGATTTCGATCAACCAAAGTGCCTTCATAAAAGGGAGAAGCATACATGACAACTTCCTCTTCGTGAGAAACATGACCAGAAGATACCATCGATTGAGGCGGGCGATGCTGCTATTCAAGTTAGACATAACTAAGGCCTTTGATTCAGTTCACTGGGATTACCTGCTAGCCTTGCTGCAGCGAAGGGGTTTCCCAACAAAGTGGATAGATTGGCTGGGGGCTTTGCTATCAACTTCCACCTCCCAAGTACTTCTCAACGGCTTGCCAGGGCAGCGGATCAAGCACGGAAGGGGCCTTAGGCAGGGGGACCCCCTATCGCCACTCCTTTTCATACTTGCGATTGACCCCCTTCAGCGAATCCTTTTCAAGGCTATAGAGCTCGGCGCAATCTCAAAAATTCGGGGGAGAACAACTAGGCTAAGGATCTCAATGTACGCAGACGACGCCATCATCTTCATTAATCCCACCCGAGGCGATGTTACGGCCTTCACGGACATCCTGCAGCACTTCGGCACTGCAACTGGGCTCGTCACCAATTTTCAGAAATCCCAAGTGGCGGCCATCAGATGCGGCGGCATCGAGTTGAATGAGGTTCTTGAGGGCGTCCCTGTGGTGAGGGCAAATTTCCCCATCAAGTACTTGGGCCTCCCCCTAGCTCTGGGAAGACTGCGGAAGGTGGACTTGCAACCTGTCTTTGACAAAATTTCCAGAAGGGTAGCAAGCTGGAGAGGAAAAAACATGGCAGCGGCTGGAAGAACTACGCTCATCAAATCTGTGCTAACGGCGCAACCAATCTACCTTCTGACCGCTCTGAAAATCACAAAGGAATCCCTCGAGCAGCTAGACAAGCAGCGGCGCCGCTTCCTCTGGGCAGGCACGGGTGATATTACCGGAGGGAAATGCAAGGTCAATTGGACAAAGACGTGCATGCCGACCAGCCAAGGAGGATTGGGGGTCCTAAATCTGGACAAATTCACGAGGGCCTTGAGGTTGAGATGGCTGTGGCATGAATGGAAGGACCAGACCAAACCTTGGGTGGGGCTGGAGACGCCATGTGATGAAATAGATAGGAACCTCTTCGCCGCCTCAACAAACATAACAATAAGGGACGGAAACACGGTGCGATTTTGGGAGTCTGCGTGGATTGGTGGGTGAAGACCCAAAGACCTCATGCCACTTGTCTTTGCGATCTCAAAAAACAGAGGAAAATCCCTTCGGCAAGGAAAGAAGGAGGACGCCTGGGTGCAAGATTTGAAGCTTGATTCACAATCATCTATCACAGTCGACCTCGTCGAACAGCTAGTCGCACTGTGGGAAGCGGTCCGAAATGTGCACTTAGACGTTGGAGAACCGGATCAGATTACTTGGAAGTTCACAAACAACGGGCACTACACGGCCTCCTCGGCTTACCATGCGCAGTGCTGCGGGGCGCCGAGTACAAACTTCAATTCCTTGATTTGGAAAGCCTGGGCGCCGGGGAAATGCAAATTTCATGCTTGGCTCATCATTCAGAACAGAGTCTGGACTTCAGACCGGCTTGCGACCAGGGGATGGCAGAACAATGGTTGTTGCCCTCTTTGCCGCCGCGAGACTGAGACGGCATTGCACCTC